TGGGGACGAAGGAACCAGTTGAATTTGCTATGGCCATTTTCCACGGTAAATAAGAGTTGAGTAGTCACTCTTCTCACTTGTTTGTTTGTTCATGTAGCAAAAATTTACCGAATGCCCATATGGCAGATATTATTCGAAGTGCTGGAGATATAGCAAGAAAATGACAAACAACATCGTTGTTGTCGTGGTGCTTATATTATAATGGAGAGAGATGCTGAATACATACCTTCATGCACTAATATATGTAAAGTAATATGTAAGTTAATATATAAAGAAACTGAAAATATAGTCTATAGGAGCCAATGCAATGCAGAGAAATGAAATAGAATGAGTGGGCGAGTGAGTAGAATAAATGTGAGGAGGTTTGGTTCAGGTAGTCATTCACGGCTTCTCTGACGAAGTGAGATTTATGGTGAGATCCCTTATTAATCATAAAGATAAGTGGTAATCCATGAGGACCCAAGATCTCCTTGACTCAGGTGGATGCAGGCAGATCTATTTCTGCACTGGCCCAAACTCAGTGAGTGACTCCTCTGAGTTAGGACAATGGGTCTCTAGAAGTTGTTATTTATAAGCTGAAAAATTTAGCCATCATCACTTTAGGAGGAAGTCAGATTGGGTTTAGTCATCTGGTAGTATTTTAAAGGGACAGAAAGGCCATTCGAGAAGACTGCCCGGGGAGGCAGTCGGTTGGGCCCTTGCTAACAGTGGGAGTGGGATGGGGAGAGGGATGGGGAACAGGCTGGGAGGCCCGCTGCAGCCCGGTGAGAACGATTCCCCCTGTCGCTTTCCACTGGTGCATCCCCCCTGGCTTCCTCTACGTGAAAAGAAGGCCCTCTCAGCCCGTCGCCAAGCAAGTTTTTCTGGCTCACACAGAGCTTTTCCAAGCTCCACTGCTGTGGGGGAAAGACGTCGTGAAGTGATGAAAAATGGGAACAGCCCTGGCCGGTTGCTCAGTGGTTAGAGCATCGGCCCGCGGACCAGAGAGTCCTAGGTTTGCTTCCCGCTGAGGGCGCGTATCTCAGTTGCAGTTTGTCACCCGGCCCTGGTTGGGGTCGTGTGGGTGGCAGCCAGTCGATGTGTCTCTCTCACATCGATGTTTCTCTCTCTCTCTTCCTCCCTCTTTCCCTCCTGCTCTATCTGAAGATAAATGCAAAAATGTCCTCGAGTGAGGTTAAAAAAAAAAGTGGGAACGTGGTAGCATCATATGCTTGGGGTTTTTGTCTATGTTCCTGGGGCAGTGTAGCAGAAATTCAGCTTTCAAAACTGTGGAGACTTCACCACAAAGAAACTCAGACAGAAACACTCCAAAGAACTACAGAAGTGCAGAGGGACAGATACAACCTTTAGCACGAATGCTGGCAGCCCAGAGGGGCCTGCTCAACGACAAGCCTGCAGGAGGGGCCTGCAGGAGAGCTGTGGGCAGGCGGAGAGCAGCTACCAACAGCAGCAGGAAAGCAAAACTGCAGCAGGTGGCGGGAACCACAGCCGGCTCGACAGGAAAGAGTCCAGGAGGGCGCCTGCAGGTGGCAGAGGGAGCAAGGTCACAAGGATTGGCAGCAAGGACAGAAAAGTCCTCATCACAGAATAATTTCTCTGAGGTTTTAGCAACATCCTTAAAGAAAGAAAGACTTGGGTCCAGGGCTCACAAGCCTAGAACTCTCTTTGGCTGGTAATCGGTGACTCTTAAAGAACTGATGGTCATAAACAAACTTGTATCAGACTAGCATGTTTGTACACAGGCATTTTATGGTTAACTAAACTGGTTAGTAAATTCTGCTCCACTTGCATATAAGGTAGAGCTGAGACTCAAGTGACCACTTGTTGTTTATATAATTGCAGAAGGACAGATGCTACAGAAACGTGAGGAGCATTTCCTGGAGCAGAAATACCTGAATCCACGTGTTCCTGCAGGTCGTGTGCTAATTAGACTGCTCTTTAGGTCAGGTCAAGCTGCCGCCAGTTGGGGTTCCTACTCTCACTAACTTGTGCAGAGAAAATCAGATGCTATTGTTTCTCTGAAAAGGGGTACTAATGATGACCTTTGAAGAGGACAAAGATGCATTTGCACCTTTCCCTTATGTAGTACAAAGATTTGCTTGTACACGCACTCTGAGAGATGGGAGTAGTTAACAATAGTGGTTCTACAATTAGTCTCTTTTTCTGAACTATAACTTCTTTCTAAAATGTATTTTTAGAAAAGTGACCACATGCAATTTTTTTGTAGTTTTGTATATTCAAATTGATTGACTGTAAGGACAAATAATGACATTAAAATTCCAGAGTGATCAAGCGAAGCATTATTGCACTATAACTCTTTACTGCTTCTCTGAAGGCTTCTTTCCTGGGTGTCAGCACACGAGACGCTCCAGGGGTTCTGCCAGTTTCGCTGGCCGCTCTTCCTTAGCCCCCTGTGCTGATCCCTCACCTCCCTTAATGTTTAACTTCTAACCAGGGACCTTTTCTCATCTGTTTCTAACTCATTCGCTTTGTCATGTTATCGGTTGCATGGGTTTAATCGCCAACTATATGCTGTCAACTCACAATTTTACTCCTCCAGTGCAAACTTCTTCCCTAAACTCCAGGTTCATAAATCCACCTGCTTGCTTAGCCTCCATTTGATGTCCACAGCCCCAAATCCTCACTTAATTTTCTCTCTCCCAACAACTCCATCCTTTCGGTTGTTCGGGCCAAAAGCCTGGATATCATTCTTAGTCCCTGTCTTTTTCTCAACATTCATATCACATTGTCAACAAATCTTATTAGATTTGCCTTCAAAACCTACCTAGAATCAGACTGCTCACCACCTGCCCTGCCCTCACCTGGTCCACCGTCCCTCCCTAGACTGCTGTTTTCCTGAACATCATTGTTGGTGTTTGGGGACTGCGTCCCACTCAGAGCCATTATTTTAGATGGTGCTGTTATGCTGTAGTCTAAGGCTTTCACAGTCAGTTTAATAAAGGATACTTCATTCATTTTGCAGCTTTACTCTCTTCCATTGATAAAATTAAAAGTTTTTTAAAATCTAGAAGATGATTATGAAAACAATTTAAAATCATAAGTAATAGTTATACTGACTAGTGCTCACGAAAATTACATTTGCTTCAATAGATCTTCTTGGTGCTGGTCAGAAGTTGGTGTCTCTCTTGGAATAATTTCACCAAAAATAAAAATGATGCTGCAGCCATACTTGGTTTCTCAATATCACTCTCTGCCAAAAGGGACAAGAGCTTCCTGGAGAAAGGCCTGACTCCAGGGTAGAGGCAAGGAAAATGCACCTTGTGCCTCAGAATCCTGTTGTGCCTGAATGTGACAAAATTCTCAAGAGCTAGTAGGTCTATTGCAAAGGGACAAAAAAAAGCCAACAACAACAACAAAAACTGCAATAGAGGGTGCTCTTCCTAGCCAAATTTGGGATAATTTGAGTATATATATAATTTACACATATACATATATAATATATAAACTTATATATTATATATGTATAATATATACATATATAATTTATAACACATTTATTTGAACAAAATCCACAACACAATAATGACTTGTCCCAATCAAAAAAGGAAAGAAAAAAAAAGAGATAGAGAGAGGCAGAAAGATATATGAGGAAGTACAGCTGTTCTAGCTAATAGACGTAGGAAGAATGATGGAATGAGAAAGCCATTATTTTGTAGCCCATGCTAACATCACTGGGTAAAAGATGGTCACAGGATGTTCACACAGTGCCAAATTATCTATCACTCCAGAAAATCACTTGTTACTTACAAAGAGAAGACTTTAGCTTTTCAATGGAGTGACATGGCAGTGACCACTTGAACCAAGTGACCCAACTCGAAATTACTAATAGTGGAACATCCTCACATTACATCCCCTTGATGCTGTGCAGTGGAAAGTTTACATTCCTCTGAGTGTTCTCACCATACAGCTGTATCTAATCAAATCCCCAGACCCCACTTCCACTGTACCGGAAACATGCAGCATAGACGAGCAAGTAAAACCCCACGGTGGGACACACAGACAGGTCTAGAACATGGATAGTCTACAAGCTAACAGCCAGGACTCTCCACGAAATCTACTGTCTTGAGAAAAAAAGAAAAGTAGGGTGGATATTCTAGATGTAAAGCTTCCAGAGATGTAACAATCAAGTAATATAATGTATAAAGTTAATTTGACATTGGTTAAGAAAAAAATTGACACGAGATACTTTTAGGAAAATTTAAATATAGAATGGATGTTAAGAAACTTATTTTACTTGTTTCAGTCTGTTTTGTTTTAATAATGTAATTGTGGTCATTAGGAGAATATTATTATTCTTAGGAAACGATGCTGAAGTACAAGAGTTCAGTGGCATGATGTTTGCAATTCATTTACAAACGATTAAGGAAGAAAAGCAAATAGGGGTACTTCTTTATACACACACACACACACACACATATAGTATATATTTATAGACTGTGCACAAATGTGGCAAAATATTAAACGTTGTTGAATCTTGGTAAAGGGCATATAGGTATTTATTATGCTACTCTTTTAATTTTTCTATATTACTGAAAATTTTCTAAAATATTGGAAAAAGCAAAAATGTGTGTAAATTGACTTTAAAAACACACTACTTCTCCACTGACGTTTTGTCCTTTGGTGGACTATGTTTGAAATATTTTGTGTCATATCTTGATAAATTCAGTTGTAATAGAAAATAGCAGCCACTACCAGGATGAAGAAAGTGGAACTTTCTGTCAAGTCCTGGCCATATGACCTACTAGCTGGTGACCCTGGGCAACTGACCTTTGACCCTTGGGGATTGGTTTCCTCATTTACATAGTGGGAATAATGTCCTGCCCATTCACAAGACATTTTGAGAGAATCCATATTATAAACAATTGTTAGGCATGCGTTCAACCCAAAGCGATCTATAGCCGGGTATCTTTTTCTTCTGTAGAGTGAAGTAAGTTTATAAAGGAAGAGATGTGAACCCTAGGCATTCATGAAGAACTTACCTTTTAGACCACAAAGTCTACACATGGCTGCAAACACTATAGATTCCGTCTCGATATTCCTGACACCGGCTTTATATGCCCTCTTCAAGTAGTCTAGCTTTTCTTCTCTGGAAAAGCTGCACAGTGCTCCATCTAGTCGACCCTGGCCTGAAAGAGAATGGAGAGCTGTTAGCAACTTGACGTCCCCCCACAGTGGCTGGGGCACCACTAAGAGTCTTGCTGTCAGCTGGAGTGCTCTGCACCCGACTCTAACTCTTGGGCCTGCACCCCAGGTAGGACAATGCAGTCTGAGTCTCCCTAACATTGGACCAGAAGCAAGGCTGTGCCCAGCTCCAGAGTCTCACATGCAGACTAGTCTCCACGGTGCTGAGCACCCCAGCTCTGGGGCAAGAAACCGTTGAGTGGCCACGGCAGCCAGCACTGTGCCCAGGGGTAATGGAATTAGAAAATCATCATTATGTAATTCATGATAAAATTATTGAGGAAAAGACAGCTGGGTTACAAGATATTCACCCCAGAGATTGCTTGCTACTTTCAAAGAGAAATCTTTGAACAGAGGATCACTGAGAGATCTGCCCTCTGAGGAAAACCTCAGGTTTCTCCCATGACTCGGGCATGGCCCAGGGCCAGAGCTGGGGGAGAAGAAGCGACATCAAACCTCAGCGATGCTCTGAGCTACCTGAGGATCAGGACAATGGTTTGAACATGGGGACTCTCCATCTGCCCTTCATGACAGTGGTGGCCAATTTGTCCACCTTCTTCGGCCTCACAGCTCTCGGCCTGTCTGCCAGCCTTCTGTGATTACTCTTTTCCTTGTAGGCCGCTCTCAGTGTTCATTTGTCACTTAACTTCACCTTTATCAACTAGGGGGTGAAAGGAGGTGGGATCAAGTCCGATGCTCTAACTCGTCCTCCACCGTGCAGGCTCTGAGAACAGACTTCTCCACGCTACGCACCCAAGGACAGCCTGGGATGGGCAGAGGCCACAGCACGGTCTCCATCATTGTCTGCACCGTTTCATCGAGTTGTTCTCCTTTTTGGCTTCCTTTCCTCTCTGAATCTTTCAGGCTACTTCCACCCTGGCTGGCTGCTTCTCCGTGTTCCTTCCTCTTTCAGGTTGCCTGCCAACACCTCTAACATAGTTTTTATTTAAGCTGATTCAAACTCAGATGTCCCAGAGGCCAAGCAGGTAATGGCAGTGAGGTCTGCGGGATCCAAAGGGAGCAGCCTCCCCTCACCTTCATGGAATGTGGCCCTGGGTGTGGGCTGGGGCCTGCCTGGCTGCCATGTATCATTTAACATTTTTAATGTTTTGTTATTTCAAGAAGCCAAAATATGGATTTCCATGTGAAATTTCAAGAAAGTATAAATGTTGGCAAAATAATTTACATTTTAAAAATTCTATTCAGACCAAAGAAAATACTAGCGCCAACATGCTGTCATCTGTACGCTCTGGCTTAAACCCATCTGCGACCCTCCCAACAGAGGGGCCAGTGGCCCCAACAAAATGAATATGCCTTCTGTTTATAACACACATGTTATCAGATAAAATGTTACTAACCTGAAGTAAGATTTAGAGATACTATAGTTTATATCAGTACATAATTAAAAAATTTTAATGTAATATCCTAAGTTTGATTCAAATGAAAAAGAATCAGAAAAATAATTTAAATTGAAGTAATAAGTACTTTGATGAACATATTAAAACACAACCACACTTCATTCCTAGAACACTCTCCGAGGAGTGGTCCCCAATCTGGCGAGATTCTTTCCTCTGGGTCCAGCAGGGTCTGTCCTTGACACTTTGTCTCCGGGCTTCTCACCCTTTGTAGCAATAGCTACTTAGCAGTGACCTTCAATGTGTCCCTCACCTTGATTAGGGAACACTTTAATTGTTGCTGAGAGAAAAAAGACAACTCTGATACCACCCATCCCTTTGGAATTTTCCCCTAAATATTTCTCCCCATTTTCTGGGTCCCACTTTTTCCTGAGTACAAGATCCCCTTTGAGGTATAGGTAATCATACCTCAAAATTGCAGAAACACAGAATCAGCATATCCCCCTTCTCCCAGAGTCATCCACTGAAATTAAAGGCATAAACAGAGATAAGATATCACTAACATTATTAATTGCACTTAGTATTCAATTTGTTTTTGGAGGATTAAATCTACTGTCAATATACATTCACTATGGGTGTTTCTCTCCTGTTTATTATGTCCTTCCGTTCCTATGCTATAGGAAGTTTAAAAAGCTGTTTCCATACTCCTAATTTTCTGAAGTAAAGTTTTTAATATAAATTATGGGTTTGAATAACAAAGAGTGGCTTTCCTAATTTATAAATTTTTCTCACCTTTGTAAAAATCATAGGTATACATTGTATGTCCAATGAGGGCTGGGAAGTTGGGAATTTCTTTGCTGCAGTTGAATAGTTCCTCAGCCAGTTCCTTGTCAAGTTCAGTACTTCGGGTGACAATGTTGTCCAAGATTACCTGTTCAAATCTGGGTTTGAAGGAGTCTACAGCTGTAGCTGCTATTATCACAGACCCTGGTGCAATCCCTGTAATGTGGGAATAAATAAGTGGTTGCTTTTGACACATAGTATGTAATCAATTCTGCCACCATTAATGCTAGTTGCTAATGATTCTCCCTCTTTCCAGACTTTAAATAATTTTTTTCCCAAATGCAATTAAATAATAACATCCAGAACAGGCATTTACATTTGCTGTCTTTCCCAATTCGCATTTACAATGTGACGGGGTTCAGATTTCAAGACAAACATAACTCTTGGACATGCAAATTAGTATCGGCCTTTGGGCTCAAATTTGAATAAATTAGGTCAGGAATAAACTAAATGAGCCTGTAGCTTTCATAAAATGATGTGACTACTTGATATTTAATCTTCTCTGCCTCTCCTTGATGACTATAATTTCTTTGCATCTCTATCCTCCCTTCCTTCTGATTCTTGTCACACCGTCTCTCCTCCCCTCTCCAACCTCATGTAAATGAGGCCTCTTGGCTGACCTTCCAGTGCTACAAAGTCTGGCTTGCTCATGGGACTTAGCAACTCAAGTCACAGGGACTTGAGAGACCATTTTCTGCCAACTGTCCTTCTCCCTGCCTGGACTGCTCTTTTGTCTTCCCCCAGACTAGCACCAGCTCATTTTCCAGGTGTCAGCGTAAGTCACTTCCTTCAAAATGTCTAAATCCACTGCGGGTATGGGGGGGGGGGGGGTGATAAAAAGGCAACACAGATAGGTGACATTAAATTGCCTCGGGTCCTGTTTTCTACCTAGTTTTGGACCCATTCTGATCTCTGTTTAGAGTCACAGTAGGAAAATATATAATGACAGTTTCCTAGACTCCTGCTCTAACATTCATCTCACTTTTTATAATTACTCACTGGCTAACCTGTTGCTCTGATTAAACATGAGCTCTATAAAGGCAAGAGCACTGCTCACCGTTGCCTTCCCAGGTCTAGCACTAGGCCTATTGCATTATAGATACTCCATAAAAATTCGTCGAATGAGTGGATGTTTCCATAGAGGTGCCACAGGGGCAGACATCTGCAAACTACAGTCTATGGGCCAGATTCAGACTGTCTTTGTAAGTCAAGTTTTATTGGACCACAGCCACACTCGTTCAGTACCTTCTGTCTGTGGTTGCGTCCACACTACAATGGCAGAACTGAGAAATTGCCATACAAACCATATGGCTGACAAGGCCTTAAACACGTACTCTCTGGCCTTTTACAGAACACAGCCGTATCCTCCTGGGTTTTATATAAATTTCACTATTGATCAGCATGGGGTTAATTTAGGAGATCCACCTAGGGACCCAAGGTCGGCGCTGATGAATGATCCTTGGTAGGTCAGATACTTTTTAAATAGGTCAAATAAGTGGCTCCATGAATTAGTCTCCGTGTCCTAAGAATAGAAAAATGATTGAGAAGTTGAAAATATGGGCATCCAAAGGATGCCTTCCTAATATTTAGATGAGTTAGAGCATTTATATCCCAGTTACAGTCTTTCAAAGCCCAAAGAAGGGGGTCTGGAAGGATGCCCACTCCAGCAATGATGCTAACAGGCTCCTCCTCCTGGGTGAACTTCTACACGTGTCTTTTTTCCAGTCCCATCTAAGAGCCTCGGGTGGACTTTATTCCTGCACCACAGCTGTGGACAAGGCCTAATCTTTCTAAACATGTCTGTTTCTGGTGAAGCATGGCCCAGCCACCTCTAGCCCTGTGATATGGGACAAGTCACTTCTTTAGATTTGTTTGTTTGTTTGTTTGTTTGAGGATTTCTGAAGGTCCCTTCTTGCTCCAAAACATGTGTAGTTCTAAGACAAAAATCTCAGCCTTTTTTATCATCCCCATTCAGGGCTGTCACTCTGTCAACCAAATGTTTCCCGTTACAGTGTTCTGTCTGAATTTGCATAGGGTGACACAGTGAAATCACGCCCCCGCCACCACACGCGATCTGTGCCTGAAGAAAGTGTTGACATGGAAGATTCCTTATAACTTGACCTCAGCTCCACCTGAAAGCATAAACGAGGCCCCTGCCAGCTGCCTGAGCGGCCGGGCAGCAGGGCGAGGGCACCTCTGGGGAAACCATAGGGAGCATCAGCTGGCCTTCCCTACAGGCCCAGCGTGGTCGGCTCTGGTGTGTTGACGAGGAAAAGACACAGCCAAGAAGAGGACGTCGTCACAACATGAGCTAAAAGCAATGTTTTCCTCTGGGCTACGAAGTCTGCTCACTTAGCTGACAAGGCAATTAGTAGTGACTAGTTTTTTTGTTTGTTTTTTTACTTGGAAGCACTTATTTCTGTCACTTATAAAATGCCTACACCTTAAAATTTATTGTAACCTCAAAACTTTCTCTTATCCTCAAAACACAATTCCTAGCCATTCTTCCACTGTTCCTCTAAAGAACCCCTAAGTCCACTCCAGGTTTCCATGGAGGAAAAAATGTAAGGAAGATGAAGAGAAAATATTTCTTCAGATTTCTTTGATTATTTTCAAGCCCGCCTCCTGACACTTCTTGGCCCATCTGGGTTTCTGCTGGGTGCCGAGCATGCTGGTGTATTTTGGCAGCTACTTTGCATGGAATCATCCCTGGGATTTCAGAGTAGACATCAAGCATCTCACCTATTCCCCCTGACGTACCTATTCTGATGATGGTGACATCTCAGCACTGGGCATAGTGCAGTAATTTGATGAGTTCATGGAGCATGATAGACATGGAAGGGATCCCCATGCCACGCTGTTGAGAGAAAAGAGAAAGTCATTATACATCTCACAAACTGATCCATGCACATGACATATTTTCTCTCTTCATTACAAGTTAACAGCCCTCAGATACATTTACATAATCATTATGACTTTGCCAAAGCTGAGGAAACCGTAAGTCAGCTCTAACTGACGCCTACTTGACATGCTGACAGATGTGCCCATCTGTGAGGATCAGACAGAGGCAGCTCGGGCCAGCTGCACGAGCTCAGCCCTCGCCATCAGCAGCGGAGGGTGGCGCTGGCACGGTGAACCGGGGCAGCGCGACTGCTCACCTCCCCACTGGACTCTTTCCAGGGAGCCTTCGAAATAGGGCTTTTTCCAGATTGATTTGATTTCGGGGGAATTCAAACTTGGCTGCTGTGGAATCAGGCCCTTTACACCATATTAAATAAAATTGTAAATCCACATCATTGCTTTCACGTGGCTTTGTTCACGTGCTGCTAATTCTGTGTGAGCTCTGAGACACACGAGAGTAGACCCGGGCTGACATCCCCACCAGCAATTTAGAGCAGGCAGTGAATGTGCAGGTGGCGGAAAGTGGCTGTAGATCCGAACCACCATCCCGGTTTTCCTCGGCATCTTGGAAGGGTATGGGCAATGTCACCAGAAGAGGGGTCAACGTGGGTTAGAGGACTTAGCAGCTCCCGGTGGTTGTAACACGTTCTGATAACTCTCCAGAGAGACCCTCCATGCTGGCCTTTGTAGCAGCTGAGCTGAGTTCAGAATCGGAGGCTATTTCATTCCTAACAAAACACCAGAGAGTCACATGTTCTCCAGTTCTGCTCCTGGGCACAAAGACTGTGTGTGCAGAGAGGCGCCAGGGGCATCTTGGCAGTGAGGTGATGCCTGCCCCTCATGCTCTCATGAGCAAATCAGGAAACCCTGTGGCCAGGACCAGTGTTCTCCCCGAGTTCCCTCGCTCTCGCCATCAGGAATATTAAACTATGAAAATGTTGAGCCTCCGGGGTTCCCATTTTTTGTTTCCATTGAGTATGTCCTGACTTCCAAACACATCGTCAGTCTCCAGGAGACTGCAGTCAAACCGGAATTAGTTTGTATGTCCAAGATGAACAAGTCTGAGCTCCGGTGCTGAGTCTGCCACTCATGAGCAAACTCTAAATCGCATTTGCTCAACTGTAAATTAAGAGAATGAACCATAATTTATCTATTAGATTCCTTATAAATCAGATATTTGCTACGTTTATAATTACCACTTATTATGTGACATGGTAATAAATTGACAAACAGGGTTGTGTGTTTCTACTAAAGTCTCTCTCTCTCTCTCTCTCTCTCTCTCTCACACACACACACACACACACACACCCTCAGCTGCTGGAGAGAAAGCATTTTCAAAGATGGGGCCCAAAGTGGAAACCTCTGTCTGCCTAGTGAGGCCCATTTTTAATTGGCTGACCTCTGGGCATGTTCCATATTTCAGCTCTTTTTCCTCTGACAGGACAGTAGAATCCATTTACTCCTGTTTTTATATCTTACTCTTAAGTTTTACTGCTTATTTATGATAATTTCACATTTTTATAAATTGTACTTTTCCATTTACTGTGCAAGAAAAAGATGAAAGTTGTAGTTTTTTTTTTTTTTTTTAATTCTTATCTGAGGACACGTTTCTATTTATCTTCAGAAAAGTAGGAGGGAGGGAGAGAGAGGGAAAGAAAGGGAGAGAGAGAAAGAGAAGCATCGATGTGAGAGAGACACATCGACTGGTTGCCTCCCACACGACCCGACCAGGGCCGGGACGAGCTCCAACCGAGGAGTGCCCTTGACCGGAATTGAACTCGAGACTCACTGGTTCGCGGGCTGATGCTCTGCCGCTGAGCCAAACGGCCAGGGCGTGACAGTTGTAGTTTAAGTGTCAAACAAAAGTTAGCAAGACAAAATCTGCCTAGATCAAACAATATTCACCTTCCTGCCAATGTAGATATTCTGTAGTTGTTGAACGAGCAATTGAATGGATTCTCTCATTTGAGCCCAAAGCACGTCTCAGGTGTTCTTGATCCAGAGGGGAAATCACCTTAGCTGCCCCAATGGTGCTGCATCATTTCCCCTCTTTACACCAGGCTTCCAGCCATGATCATCCACCCTTCCCTCACCAGGTACCTCGAGGAATCAATGATCGGCGGCTCTTCCCTGGTGCAGTAGTCACATATAATTCAGCTTATCAGAATCGTCACACTCCACAGAGGACTCTTCCTCCTTCCCTAGCATGCCAGGCTCCGCCCGTGATGAGGACTGCAGTGTCCAGATGTAAGACGGACTGGAGCCATTATTTCCGGATACAGCCCGGTGTCAGAGAGAAACTTACAAAGGCCAGCTCGGTGCCGCACTTTCCTCTGTGGATGCTACCCTGCGTCCAAAAGGGAAGTGGTCTATGTGTTCCCTAAAATTTCAAATTATCCCACTTTCATTTTGTCTTAGGACACTGTGTATGTCCGTAGCTGTTAACATATTCTAAATATAGGAGAGCAATTTACAAGAGCTCTGTGGAAACGCATTACCAGCTTTTCAGTGAGCTTATTATAGTGTTAAATGCAGCCTTTGGCAATCCTGAAAATTGGCCTTTGTATACTTCAGCTCAACATTCCCCAAACTGGAAAAGGGACAGAAGAGAGAACATTACTGGTGGCTTAATCGGTTACAAACTAAAGAGAGGAATTGTGCTTCCCCCACAACCCCGCCCACCCCAACTTGAATCTAAGTGGTAACTAATAAACTATAGTGACACCAAATGCTATATGTTCTGCCCGCAGGCTTTTTTTCAGCAAAGAATGTCACACCTGGAAACCAAATTTAGTTATGTGAGAAGGCAAAGCAGGAGGGGAAACTCCTGTATTCAGATGTTCCCTCTTTTCGTGTGAGCTTGTGATGACTACTAGGAGCGCAGGCATCGAGTACTTACGCTGACGGTGAGCACGGGACCAGTCTTGTACATACAGCACCTGTCTGTGCCGGCACAGATGTCCTGCAAGTCTTCACTCTCCTCCAATCTGAGCTCCTTATGCATGAACAGTGCAAACGCTTTCATTCTGTTGGGGCCCCCACCAACGCAGACAAACTGTTCATAAAAAGAAACAATTATCTGCTTTAACCACTAGGATCAGAACCAAGGGTCAGCTTTCAACTTTAATGTTCTCATTTTATTTTTTAGTAATTCACTTAAGAGTATGTATCGATGTTAATGTTACGGGTTCTGTTCAGGAGTCAGCTAATTTCCACCATTACCCTGGAGATGAGGTAACCAGACACAAAGCTTGACATACTTGATTAGCAAAGAACAAGAAATCAAAGTAAGTGTTGCTTTTGTTCAAGTCGATGTTTCCTGGTGGTTTAGTTTACTGTGAACATCAGCCAGCTCTTAAGGTTGGGCGTTAGCGAGCTATGCGCTTAGTATGTAAATACCGAGCAGGGGGATGTGAGTAACAGGAGAACAGAAGAACTGAGGTTTAGAATATCTTTTCATTCCACATCCCCAATCATAAGTTTTCATTGTAAAATGTGCTATGTTCACTTAAAGCTTTAAATAATAATAATCACATCAAAACGTTCCCAAGTTCTCATTCAGAAGGAATTCTCATGGAGCAAGCCTTATTGGAGACGAAATCTCACTACGGTACTTCATCACCTCCAATAATTGGGTTTTGCTTTGTTTTATTCACATTTTCACATCTCTGAAATGACAACAGTCAAGAGTGTCAACTCTAATAAAACATGGTTATAAAATTGTCTGGTAGTTTCTCGCGCGATAGCTTATTAGGGGTCCGTCGGCCACCAGGATGGGAGAGCTGGATGTCGGAGAGGCTGGACAGCAGGTAGAGGAGCGGCCAGCGGGGAGTCGGGGTCAGCGGTGGGGAGGATGCGCAGCAGCAGCCGTCAGAGGCCCGAGGAAGCGCAGCCGCAGAAGGGCGCCCAGTGCAAAGCCATCAGAGCATCTCAGCTACGTGGTGAAGAAGCTCAGTCAGAGATAAGGTAACACAGTGCGTAAGGGCCTGCTCTTTGAGATAAACTTGGCTTTGCATCCCACTGCTGACTAAGTAACTTGCTTCAGTGTTACTCATGTCATCTCTATGTGCCTCAGATGGTCATCTCTAAAGTGGGAAAACACAGAACCCTTCGGATGGTTCTGTAAGGAGAAAACGGGATTGACGGTGGCAGAGGACACTGCACAGAGCCAGGCACCTTCTGAGTATCCAGCACATGCTAACTACTATTTGTGATACCACGTGGCCATTTCCTGGCTCTGCTTCTGAGCTTATGCATGGTTTCTGTGTTGCAGAATTTAGGACAAATGAAGCTGATTCAAATCCAGTGAGGAAAGGCAGCTGGTGGTGCCTGACTGACGGGGGCAGCATCAGGCAGAGCGTCAGAAGGGTGGCTGGCGAGGCCAGGCCTGGGAGAAAGAACATCTGTCTAAGGAAATACCTAACTGAGGTGGGAGCGTAGGCCTCCCATTCACAAATGATTTCCTCAGACTGTCGGGTGGTCTGATGACGTGATGCATTCTGTTTCCATTTAGCAATAATTCCATTTTCAATTATGGGATGTAATTATCCTTTTATCCAGCCCCTCTGCTTCTCTTCCGCTCTTGTTTTTGTCTTTTCTGTGGCTTCTGATGGGGCTTAAAGTTGGTAATGAACTGCAGTGGAAGCCAGCCATACCGACTGGGTAGCAAGGAGTAAGACCATGGTCTACAGTGACTTCCTAAATCATTATTGATTACTTATAAAATGTTTCTCTCTCTTGGTATGGACAATTAAGACTTAGCTAAAGAGCTAAGTACAAAGTAGGTTCTTTTTTTATTTATTTTCCAAAATACAGTAGTTTCAAAATAACCTCACTGTGTGGTACCAGTGAATATAAATTACAACTCTTCAGATTGACCATAAAACCAAAACAGATGTTAGAATTGCTTACAGTTTCAATTCTTCGAACTCTAGATATTGCTGTAATCAACAGGAATTTCTGACTGTCTCTAGTGACATGAAGATGATAGGTATAGACAGAAGCATTTTCATTCTGGAAGCCTTACTCTTAAATCAGACTTACTAAATATCACCTCAGACACAATTCTAAGTCTGACTGCCTTAATGAGAAGTGAAATATGGCTGAGGACCACCAACCAACACTGACCTTAAGAGACACTTACTATGATTCATGTCTCAAACAAAATGATCATTTGTCCTGGTTTTAGCAAAGAAGATAAAAGTGCATTGGGAAGGCGTCTGAAGCATTACAAAAATGTGTCAAGGACTTTGCCATAAACTGCCAAAGTAACTCACTTTCAAATACGCTTACTGTCTCGAAAGACTTACTTTGCCATGTTGTATTAACCTGGGCCTATTACAGTTGATGCATGCTGTACGTTTACAAAGGAATATACACTTTTAAAAGCATATTACACTGTTATAAGGTAATGCTTTACATGTTACGTGAAATTTCTAGGGAGAGATTGGAGGATATGTCAGTAATTTTATAAAAGATATATTTGGATGTTGAGTTTGAGCAGATAACTTTTGTTTGTTTTTTTTTACATTTCTTTTTCCTTTATTGATTTATAGAGAGAGAGAGAGAGGAAGGAAAAGGGAGAGAGATAGAAACATCGATGACAGAGAACATCAATTGGCTGCCTCCTGCATGCCCCTTACTGGGGATCTGGCCCACAATCTGGGCATATGCCCCGACCAGGAATCGAACCGGTGACCTTTTGGTACATGGATTGATGCTCAACCACTGACTCACACTGTAGATAACTTTTAATGCTCCTCCACTATGTTTTCAAATTTTTATTTATTCCAGTCAGTGTGACAAAGTCTGATTAGCTCTTGACCAAAGTGGTCTCTCCTTTCTAGGCACACAGCTTAACTCAACTACCCAGCTTCCTTTCCAACTAGATAAGGCCATATGCCTGAGTTTTAGCCACTAAAATGTGAGCAGAAGTGACAGGTGCCACTTTCAGTCCTAGCCCAGAGAAGTCTCCCACTGCGATCCTACAGATTGGGTTCTCCTGTCTGCTGGATGGGTGTTGACACTCAGCAAACTACTCCTTAAAGCTGACAGAGCATCAACATGGAAGGAGCCTGGGTCTTTGAATCACAGTTGGAGAAAAACCACCCATCAACTGGGAACACACATTTTGTACTCTATGTAAATAAGAAATAAACATACAGTGCTAAGCCATTGATATTTTGCAGTACCAGCTAGCAAAAACTTTAGTAATACTGTAAGTAAAAAAATGGAAATGATTGTCAAAATTTTTAAGGTTTAAATTTTACACACCCAGATGTCTCCTTTCCTTGGATGATAATGCTATTAATAATGAAGACCAGCTCTGTGAAGACAAGGCTTAGTTTTCAGGTACTGATGGATTATACCCTCTCTTCTTAGCTAGAATTGCTGCCCTGGGATTTAAGAGAATCCAGAAATTGAACCTAGCACGTTCTCATTCAAAGATAAGAATGTGGCTGGAAAAAGGCGAGTTCCTGAGAAAACATCTGTAAACATAAATCAGACTCTACCTACTGCTTCTGAAAGAATCCTGGTGTAGGTTAAACAGCCAGTTCTGATTATTGGGAATTACATTACCTACTTCCCAATCTATACACATGCACTTTTGCCTGCTATCCATCAAAATGGCTCGATCAATAGAGTTGCTCTCTAGTAGGACAAAACAGGTTCTAAACCAGAGCATGCCTTTTAATTCAAAAGAGAATCTACTGAAGGGGTCACACCAGATGGATAGTGAGTTCATCTGGGTAAACAGTGATGCTGAAAAAGTGTGAGAATAAGTGCTGATGAAAATCTAGTCAGGTTGAGGGGTAAAAAGGCCTGGTTCCTGGGATTGTAACAACGATGTGACATTACACACAAGTGTGTGCTTGCGTGTGTGTATGTATGATAAATATGTGTGAATACCATTATTTTCATGTCTAAAACAAAGTTTTTCATCCCAATGATTTCCAGAAACTAATACTTAGAGTACCAAAATGTAGTACCTTTTTTTTTTTCTTTTTTGGTATGTGTCCCCTAGCGGGAACCGAACCCAGGACTCTGGTCCGCAGGCTGACGCTCCAAATGGAGAAAAGCCATTAATTTTTTATCAGAGAAGCCCTAAGGTTTAATCCCAGCTCTTTCACTTACCAGCTGTGTTATGCCTATGACAGATATAGATAGCTAGATGATAGCTATAGATAAATATATAGATATGTGTACAGATATATAGATGTACTGCAATAACATATGTTTATAATAATACATTTATTATATATATATATATATATATATATATATATATATATATATATATTTAACACCACATATATATTTGAGCCTCAGGTTCCTCAACTGTACAATGGGAATAACAACAACTACCTTAGTTGCTATGGAGTTCAAACTATATACCATACACATATGCCTAATACAGAGTCTGATACATGAAAAGCACTTCATAAATGGTAGATGAGAGACAGATGCTTAGAAGTGTAGATAATAGAAAACTTCCTGTCTCTAAAACATATCTTGATTCTTTCTAGTTTATTAGTTAGATGTGTACCTTAGTTTATTGATTATGATGAGTTCTTTATTAATTGGCAGTATCCCCAAATAATGATCCTGGGAACATCACTGTGAGGCATGAACCTCAAACCTAACATTTGAATTCAGGTAAACTCTGGTCAATGAGCATCAAAGATAGCCTTTATCACTGACTCTTGGAGCATAAACATTAGAAACACCAGTAGGGAGAGAGGCTACATTGCATGGATGAAGCTAATACGGAGAGAGGCCTGGAGAAGGCAAGGGGCAGCAGACTGGAGGGCATGGGCAAAGAGGTAGTCCTGTCAAATCAGCCCACCCTCTCACTTGGCCCCTGGGAGAGATAGGAAAGGAGAGGAAGCAATTTGACTCCCATGGTTAATGAATATCATAGATTTATTTCTTCTCTTCATCCCCCCCTTTCTTCTTTCCTTCCTTTCACATCACATTCTTTTCTCTCTCTCTCTCTCTCCCCTTCTCTCTCTCTCTCCTTCTCCTCCTAACATCCTTCTCTTCTTCCTCCCCCCCTTTTTTTCTAAATTATTTTTATTAATTTGTTACAGATGTTTCTCCTTTTCCCCCCATTGACACCCTCCTCCCCATTCTCCCCCTCCCCATCCCCAGCTTTGTTGTCTATGACCATTGGTTATGCATACATGCATATAAGTTCTGGGTTTCTTTCTTTCTCCCCAACACCACCTCTTCTGAAGTTGGTCAGTCTGTACCCTACTTTTATGTCTCTGGATCAGTTTTGTTCATCAGTTTGTTTAGTTCATATATTCCGCAAATAAGTGAGATCTTGTGGTATTTGTCTATTTTTGCTTGGCTTGTTTTGCTTAGCATAATACTCTCCAGGTCCCTCCACATCATCTCAAAGGTTAAGAGATCTTTCTTTCTTACAGCTGCATAGTATTCCATTGTGTACATGTACCACAGCTCTTTTATCCACTCATCTACAGATAGACACTTGGATTGTTTCCAGATCTTAGCTATTGTAAATAGTGTTGCTATGAACATAGGGGTACATATATATATTCTTTTTGATTTGTGTTTCAGGCTTCTTAGGGTATATTCCTATCTTCAGGTCCCAACATATCCATTTCAGTGGTGTTTATAATAGAAAATACTTTTACCTAAAGGTCAAAAGTAGACCATATAATGTATGGCACAGCCACTTGAAATTCATAAACAATGTGCTTCAAAGAAAATGTCATAATAGTGGGGAAATGTTAATGACATAAAGTTAAATAGAAAATTCAGGATGCTAAGTTATATAATTCCAACTATTTTAAAATCTATTTATTAAAATGGATGAGAAAAAAAGGAAACAGGTTAATGTCAATGTTTAGGTGATAGGAGTTTTTTAAGGTGTATTTGTTAAATTATTGTTTTGTTTTGCTTTTTTTACATTTTCCCAATTTTAAATAATGGACATGAGCTGCTTTTATATATAGATATAGAGATATAGATATAGATATAGATATAGATATAGATATAGATATAGATATAGATTCTAGAGAAGTACAATTTCCCTAGCAGCATTCTATAAACAATTTTATAATATTTCTTATGAAATAACAAAAATCTTAATAATATGAAATATTAAATAATGGTTATTTTCAAGATAGCATTGTTAATTTTGTTGAGTGATGCTATGATTTAATAAAATGTGAAACAGTGAAGCTCAGCTATAAATGTATATGTTCAGCAGTGAATTGAATCATAATAAATTCTCAGCACCCAGCAGTATTGTCAATAAACTTGTATTTTTCTCCAGGAACTAGAGCAGCCAAATAATCATGTGTGTATTAGATATTGTTTGGGGACCTTGATGTCTTGTTGGGGTGCAAATGATTGTTCAAGATATACACATTCTAAATTGTTTCAGAGAATGAACATGCCTTCCGGTCCTAGTGGGACCGCTAGCATTTCGCTAGTTGAATGGGTGAAGTTTATGTTGGGAAAATAAGAAGAAATTTCAGCAAAGGAACCATGATTGTTTTTCCTAAAATTAGAAATACTTTTACCTTTACATCCCCAAACACTGCTGGTAGGTTGTGTGTTTTTGTTCCTAAATCTAAATGATAGAGAATGTCTTCATCCATAGAATCCAAGTAAGGATTTTTAACACGAACAAAACTTTTTCTGGGGAAAATAATACAAAAAAAGAAGAAATTTAGAAAGAAAGCACACAAACGAGAAAAGATATCAGTCTACACCTATGATAATCACTAGCCCAAATATTAGACACAAACATTCACTTAGGATTAAATGATTTGTTGGTAAGCAAATATTATTATGATATGATAATAAAACAATACTACTACTACTAATAGTAATAATAATAACTAATATTTTCATAATCATAGCCTTAAGCATGAAAATTGCACGCTGCCATAAATTCATGTATAAATACATTGCCTCATTTAATCCCATAACCATTCTATTAGGTAAGCATTACTAACTAATCCAGTTTACTAATGAAGGAGACAAGACTTACAGAAGTTGATAAACTTGAGCAAGATTTTATAACCAGTAGGTTACAGAACAGTCTTTTCTAGTCAGTTCTGTCTGGCCCTCACGGTCATTTTTGTTCTTTGCATGGGAGGCTGAGTAACATAAGCTACTGAGAACCACAGTCAGATTGACTGGGTTCCACTAGCAGGTCAACCATATATATACTAATTGTGCAACCCTGGGTAAGTTATTTTATCTTTATTCTTTGAAAGTTTCTTCATCTGTAAAGTGGGTATAGTGAAAATAACTGCTTTGCAAGATTGTCCCAAGGCCTATCTGAGCCTTGCTGGGCTACTATCCTTCCTCTCTCTCTCTCAGTAAAATAATGCAAGACAGTGAGCTGCTGCTGCAGGAATGACCTTAATTCAGTTTAATTCATATTTATGAAGCATATCATCTGCAGTCTTTGATATTATTAGCAATGAATTATTTACCCCTTACCACAGTGGGTCAAGCCATCTTTGCCAAGAACTATCTGATTTCTTTGCTCAATATTCCTTCCATTTCCCCGTAAATACCTCTAAACATTTTAACAAAACTCATGTTTTCTATTTCCAGTGATCTTCAACCATTTAAAAATACTTTAAAAACACTTGTGCCCAGGCTCCAGTGAACTGAGACTCTGAAAGCATTTTCAAAATCTTCCCAAATGATCTGATGTGCAACCAAGGTTGAGAATCTCTCTCTAGGCCTTTGTTCTGAAGCATCCTTCCCCTGCCCCTCCATTGTTCGCGTATCAGAATCCTACTCATTCTTCAAGTTCAAGTTCAAATGTCACCTTCTCCAGGAAGGCTTTTCCAAGCACCTTCCCTCCTCAGTCTGTATGAATCCCCTCCCCCAAAACCTACTACTGTGCTCCTAAAACATTTGCTTCATGTTAAGGCTGATAGGTAGCATTTCACATGTTAATTTCTGTCTCCACAGAAAAATTGTGAATTTCCTCATGCAAGCTGTCTCATACATCTTTTTTCCCCAAGTCTTTAAAATTTTTATTTGTTAAATTAGATTTAACTGTTTGGGAAGTGGAAAAGAATACTATTAATGTTCTGCTCAACAACATTTTGCAGTGGTTCTCAACCTTCCTAATGCCACGACCCTTTAATACAGTTCCTCATGTTGTGGTGACCCCCAACCAAAAAATTATTTTTGTTGCAACTTCATAACTGTAATTTTGCTACTGTTATGTCTTAGGCGACCCCTATGAAAGGTCGTTCGACCCCCAAAGGGGTCGTGACCCACAGGCTAAGAACTGCTGATTTAGGGTAACAGATTCTTTATTAGTTAGTGGATCACAGCTGGTTTGAAATATAAAGCATTCCGTGAGGTTAGTGAACTTTACTACTTCAGAGAAAGCCTCAACACCCCAAAGCAAAAGGATACCTACTTTCTTCTCCCAAGAAGAGGCAAGAGGGTATTTGCCAGTAATTCCTTGTTAGAAAAAGTGTGGTTGATAAACCAGCAGCATTGCCATGGAGGGTTGTTAGAAATACAGAATCTCAGGCCCCACGCAGGACCTACTGAATCAAAATGTGCCTTTTAACCAACTCCAGTGTAATTTCTGTGCATGTCGAAGTTTGAGAAACACTGCCATTCATTTTCTCTTCCAGCTTCTCTTAAACGACATTACCCCTTGGAGAGTCTGCTTTGGACTCCAGCTGACTCTGAAATCCTTACTCTAGAAAAATGTCTGTGATTCTACACTCTAATTCCATATCATAACCAGATGGGATGCTTTCTAAAGCACTGGTTCCTGAGCCCACATCCAGAAATTCTGATTCAAATTGTCAAGGCCTTGGTATTTTTAAAAGCACTGATATTCCCTGGCCAGTTTGGCTCAGCGGTTAGAGCGTCAGTCCGCGGACCAGGGAGATCCGGGTTCGGTTACCGCTAAGGGCACGTACCTCGGTTGCGGTTTGTCCTTGTCCCGGTTGGGGTCATGTGAGTGGCAACCGGTCGATGTGTGTCTCTCATATCGATGTTTTTCTTTCTCTTCCTCCTTCTCTCCCTCCTGCTCTATCAGAAGACAAATGAAAAAATGTCCTCAGGTTAGGATTAATAAATAAATAAATAAAATCACTGATGTACTCAAACTTTCCTATCTTCAAAAGGAATTCTCAAGCCATTAACTACATTGTCTTGTATTAATTAAAATAGTCTTGTTAATAAACTAGGAGCTCTACTAAGCTTTCCTTGATACAATAGCTAATGACCCCCTTGCTCAGGCAATTGGGTGGGGGGCATGTCTGTAGAAGAGTTATATCCCTTTCGGCTCATCTGAAGGACTTCTAAAGTGATCACTCTATCACTTACTCAAGGAAAGAGTAGTTTGGGGTATTATGCCAAATTCAACCCAATGTAAATCTAGCAATTGCTATATTTCAACCTTTCCAAAATATATACTTTTTACTAAATAGACTGCATGCACTGTTTCTTCCTCACCTCGTTTTGCATTTCCTTTCTCTTTTCTAAAACATGGGCCAGATGGTGCTGGGAGTGCAGTGTTTTAGCCAACCACGACCCAGCACGGTCAGTATGAAACACTGGTAACCAAAGGAAGTGCTGGCTGAGAAGAAGTCTTTCCATCTTACCGTTACCTTCACCTTCATAATTTTTCCTTTTCTCTTTCCTTGGCTTCCCTGAACAAATGAATGTGGTAGAAGGTGACCTTGTTTGGGATGGGTAACTGGAATAGTTTCTGAAACGCTGAGATGATGGAGGCTCTAGCAAAGGCATTTGATACAACTCAGCAAATCAGAGGGGATGCACAGAAATTTCTTATGCCTCCTGAAGATGCTCTATTCTGTTCTGTGAACGTGGGGCAAGAACTGGAGCTAAATTTGCCAACAGTTTTGGCAGATTCATGTCTGCCCCTGAGATGAATAATATACATGGCATTTTAGAAGTGAATCCTATATAAAGTCTATCACAAAGCGTACGGAATCACTTTATAATATGCCGCAATGCACTTAAATCTCCTGTAGGCACTGGGATGCCCCTTTAATTATTTCTCAGATATTTCAGCCCATGGTCCTAGAATTAAAGGCTAAACTCGAAGCTGAACTTTGAATTTGTTCACTCATGCAGGTTGATTAATCTTTTACTTTTTTTTCTTCTTCACTTTTTTTTTTTTTAACTGAGATATAATTGACATATTTCTCCACTTTCTTAGATGAGCCCAATTCCCCCAAGAACCAACAAATGAAAATGTCATTGGGAAGAAAATTTGCATTGTATTTATTTCATTTTGTATTATGAGCTGTGTTTCAATGATATCATCTCTACACTTCAGAAATTTACATAACTGGTAGATAGAGGTCCATCTCCTGAACATTTACTATAAAACCCAAAGAACATCCATCTGATGAAAACAAATAAAAAGTCAAAATTACTTACCCAACATATGTATTCTGGTCAGAAATCATGGATTTGTTGGAAGCAGGTAAAATCTAAGCCATACTATGTGATGGTTTGTTGTACTGTGTGATATCAGAAAAAAAAAATACACAGTGAGTTGCTATTAAATTATAGGTCAATCATAATAGTTCAGCTCCAACTTAGAATGACAGCCTCCCTTAAAACTTATGTTTTCTTCTGAAATCGCTAACGGAACTTGACTCTTAGCATTCTAAACTCCCTTACCAAGTCAAAAAAATGCCCTCCTCGACAGGGCCTTTTATACTAACGCCCAACTCTCAAAGCAACACTTCCCTAAGAAGATAGGCTCCCTTTGAAGATGTGGCATCCTTTCTCTCTGACCAGGTAGGTTAGCTTGTTAATGGTTGACTGGTGCACCTTTCCCTTCCTCTGGCCTTGGTCGCAGTGTGGGTCTGGGTGGCACACCATCTTATTTACTTTGGGACAGCGGTATATGGCTCCAAGTCCTCCACTGATTTCTATAACTCCATCATGCTGTGTCAAAAATGTGCCCAGTACGCAGGAGAACTTCCAGTTCTCAAGCATTTCATTTTCTCACCCCATCTTACCCCTCACCAACTTGTTTTCATTCTGTGTTCATAAGTGAGAAAAACACACAAAGTCACGACCTCAGAATGTGTCTTCATCTGAACTCTGTCCATTCAAATGCACATAGAAGGTCTGATAATTAAACAAAATCTGTTTCCCAGGGCTTCATTAGCTAAAAACCCTAGGCTACAAATAAAATCCAACGAAGCAGCTGTTAGAGGTCAATTCAGGAAGAATAACAAAATAAAGCCTACTATTTTCAGAAAACAGAGTCTCTTTTAAGAAATGCAAAAAGTCATTGCTTTTCTGCTGCTTCTTACTGTCCACTATTGGGATGGAAAAATCTAGAAGACTTTAATGGAACTTTGTCCTGTTGTGTTTTTTTTTTCTCAGCTCCCATGTCAATCAGCTAAAGTTCTATGCTGATGACAGTTTTAAGAACATTTGTCCCTGGCTCACAAGAGAGCTGAAAATGTCCACAAATGCCCAAACCTCAGCAGATACAAGGCATTTCATAACATGCGTGAATTTCTCTGTAAGAGTATGCATCCCAGTGAAGAAGCACATCCATATCTTAACTGTGTTAGAAGATACTCCTCTTCCTAGTGACAGTCACTTAGGACAAACTCCTTGAATTCCATGCTGGCCTCCTTCTTGGCCAGCTAACACAGTTGGCAGGATGAGAAGGAAAGAGAATGGGGAGCTAATGCAGCTCTCTAAATCTTGCTACTGCCACTACTGATTAGATATTTGTAACTTTGCCCACAGTTATCCAAAAATCCCCAGGGAAACTGATCTTGGAAAAGGTAATGACAACTTACAGGCAAAATAAGCCTGAACCTGCGTGTTGCTTGTGTGACTTGGGAGAGTAGTTCCTGTTTCTAGTTTATCATAATACATATGCTTCCTACCTCGGTCTACCTGCCGCCCTTTCTCCACAACCACTGGTGGTTCTGAAACTCAACCTGCCCACCACCCACCAGGGGAGCTTCACGTTCTTATTTGGTATTCCAGCTGTATCTCCACATTTTTGTAGGGTATAATGAGGAGGACTACCAAACTCCTGTCTGGCATTTACCTCTGGTTCTGACAGGTGAAAGTGTTAGCTAATTAGATGAGTGCTAAATAATTAATTACTCCAGCAAATTATTTAAACTAATTAACATGTCTTTTTTCCAGTGCAGATTCTGTCAGCCAATGATGTTGATCACCAGCAGTGCCAGGGAATGCCAGCAAGGTGTTACGGACCCCATCTAACTACTTATGAGGACATTACGGCAAGTGTCATCATTTGGGTGAAGTGAAGAATAGTCTTATAGAATCCCTGACAGCAGAGTACTAATTAGTGCCTTCTGGGGAATCTGAAATTATTTTCCCTCAGTTTCAATCTTTTCAAGACTCCATCCTACTCTTACAGTACGTTGTTGCTCAATGATTATTTTTCCTATTGACTGTTTTGCAAAAGGTCAGTCACGCGAGTGGGAACGGAGAGAAGTCTCATTTTCAGAAAGCATGAGACACAGAGGTGCACAAGGCAGACCCAAGCCCAGCCACTGGGCGTTTTGTGGATGAAGGGCCATGTGCCAGGCAGAGCCCCCCACTCAGCACAGCCTTGAGATAGCAGGGCCCGCATCAGCTCCACCAAATCCATGCTCTATGGTGCCTGGCCTAAGACAAAACACATCCCTTCCTCCACGGTGACAGTATTTTCATAGTCTCACTCCCACGGCAAATTTCTACCTGGTGATTTTGCCCCTGAACCTCCAATATGAGAGAAAAGTAATCAGAGTCCTGGAGTGGAAGTCGGGGGGGGGTGTCTTTTCCCCACTGGTTTGCTTTCCCTTGAATCTGTGCTATTTATTTGTGTAGACTTAAAACCATTCCCAGCCCCCAAAACAGTGCTCCTGTCACCCCGGCGAGGGCCATGGCTAGGAATTTGGGGATCCCAGAACCCTGCTCTAAGGGCCTGGGCCTCTACCTCATACCAGGCACTGAGAACACAGAGAAGATGAGATGGACGGCGTCTGCCCTAAAGGAATTTACTCTCCAGCGGGGAAGAGAGATGCGTGGTTAAAAGATACAGCAGGTGCTATGAAACTCCGAGGGGAGGCCGTGAACCCAGAGTGGAGATACCGGGGCTTCTGGAAGGATGGGATGCCCGGGTTGTATCTTGGGGAAAGATGTAGTCCTGAAAAATATTGCTGAAAGTAGGGTCAGGCAAATATGACTGCGCTCCTGGCCCAGGGAACAGTGTGTAAAATTCACAGAGATGACAGAAAACTGTCGCCTGAAGAGAACCACTAGTAGCTCCATGAGGTTTTATCCACGTTTGCACCAGAACATCTCAGTCAGGGCCTCAGTGGCTTGCCGTGTTTGGGATTTCTGCTGTACAAGAAAACAAAGGAAGGCCACAAGGTTACACCAGTGGCAGTAGGCACATTGAGTCCATAGTAGTCTGTTTAGGTAAATGCAGACTCCACGGAGGAGCCGTCAGACTCACACACAGCAAGTGATCAATACACACCTACTATGCGCTAAGGTTGTTCATGCCCAAAGTTACAGAGTGATGTAAGAGAATGGTCCTTGTTCCCAGAGGCATTTGTCTGGCAACTTCCAAATGAAAAGGACTCAACTTACAACTGCTTTGGTGGCTTTTCTTACTGGGATCATGATCCCCACAGTGTGACCAAAGCTTAAATTTTCTGTTCCCCAGTGGCTGACCTTAACCAACACCAGGGCCTCCGTGAGTCAACAGACCCCTCTGGGAAGTCGGTGAAGGTCAACAGAGCCTCAAGTGGTTCGGTCAACAGAAGCACTTAAGACGGAAAACGTTTGGCTTCTGAATATGCTTGACTTCAATTTTTAGAATGTTTTTGTTCTTAACGATGTTTGAGTAAAGAAAATGTGAAGCATAGCACATCAAACAAAAATTCAAGGAAAGCTATTTTGTTGGAAATGAAGCATGATATTTTTGAATCAATAGGAGTAAGAAATGAAATATAAAAGCTCTTCTCTAAGTTCAAAATAATCACTTTCAGCTCGGACTGGAAATCTGAAGGACAAGAAAGAATAATTTACAGAACATGAAGGAGAAGAATGTCAGTAACAACAGGGATCAACTCAGCATTGCACCAGGCCAGGCTCTGGACTATCTCCTTCAACCCTCACAACAACCCCGTGAGATAGATTTTATTTTCTCAAATTTCAGCTGAGGAAATGAGAAACCAGAGAGGTGAAATGAGGTGGCTGAGATTCTACAAGGAGTTAGCCCAAACCAGACTTCAAACCTAGTTCTGCCCACAAAGCCATGGGAACATTTCTTATTCCACCACAGTCTTTATTTTTATTTCATTTTTTTATTGATTTTTAGAGAGAGAGAGAAACATCGATTTGTTGTTCATTGGTTGATTCTTGTATGTGACCGGGGACTGAACCTGCAAACTTGGAGTATCAGGACGGTGCTCTAACCAGCTCAGTTTTCTGGCCAGGGCTCTCCACTGTTTTTGAATGTTGGGGTCTTTAAAGAAGACTGTAGTCCACGGAGAATGGCATCAACAGGAAGGGAATTCTGGGTCTTCAAGGTGAAGGAGGACTGGGACATGAGGAGTGTGTCGCTAGCACCTCACTCTGCTGGTCCTAAGGGTTGTTGAGTTCATTCATTTGTGGGAAGGGCGTGCATCGCTAAGCCATAGTGGGGGTGGCATGTGGATGCTGCTGAAGAAAATTGCCCCATGAAAATGACAGGCTAGTTCTAATGTTGATTTTAAAATCATCTTGTTGCCAACATTTAAATTCATCTTTAAAATGTTTCTCAAACACACTTTAATTTGCAGTTTAACTCAGCTCAGGCTTACCACTTCCCTGTGATTTTACCCCAAAGCTGGGTCTGATTCAACGCCCCCCTGGAGCGGGGAGTGAGGCGCTGGGCTGAGTCTCCCGCCTGCCTGTGGGTCGCTCCCCGGACGTCATGCCCCGGAGATTAAAGGCCGTGTTTGTTTTCCAGCACCAGATGATGGGGCCCCCACAGAACATGAGGTGCCCTGGGAAATCAGTGGGAAAGGAGCTCTGGGAGTTTGACAAACCTCACACTGCAGTGCGAGGACCGGCTGTTTTCCTTGGAACCCAAGGAAGGTTCAGTCCTAACCTCTAACAGAAAACACGAGGTTATTACCGCTGCTGCCCAAGAGGGTTCAGATGGGAAAATAATGCTCACACATCGTGGAGGTGGTGAATTCCAAGCCCAGAAAGTCACGAAATTTCAAAGCTGACTGGTTCTAATTTGGGTTTGGCTGAGTGACAGTGAGCAGCGAGCTTTGTGGTACTCTCCTAACACTCCTCCGTGCAATACTTCCAGTTAATCGTTAATTTGTTTCTAAAGTAGAAAACCTTGAGCACATAACCATGGTCACATTCCTGGCTCTGTTAATGCCTCACTTCAGGAATGTCCTGACTTTGGAAAGTGTGATTTCTTTGACCACTTCACCTTGGATTT